TCGCTAGGACTATCAGGGGATGCGACTCGGTTCGTAGAACCTGCATCTGACCCACTTGAAGAACCGTCTGAGCATTCCGAGCTAAACATCGAGGAGAGAAGGTGGATTCCAGGAAGGTACTCACCCGGAAAAAAGCTTGAACAAGACTACGGGAACTTGAATGAGCGAAAACCTTGAACGCGAACTGAAAGCCTGGACGCGTGCTGAAACTTAGACGCGAGCTCAAGAGGCAAAGCACAGAAGTGACAAAACGACTGGGCCCCCCACGATTTATACCCACAGTGATCGAAGAGCAACAACACAAATCAAAGCCAATCCGACGGCCTGCAGTCGCGCTGACCGCATGTCCCCTGAGACCGAGATGTGATTGGAGCACGTCTTTTGAAAACTGACAAAGCGCCGGCGCACGTCTTTCTGAAACTGACAGAATGCCAGCGCACGCTTTCAAAATTTGAAAGGACGCCTGTTGTCACGTCTCCCAGCGGCGCGCTTTTTTGATTTTGAAATAAAGCGCGCGTTGTCACGTCTGGCAGCATTTGTAGGCAGGTCGACGCGTTTTTCGTCTTTTGGGCGCTCAAAGAAATTAATCCTAACAACGCACCTCGCGCTATCAGTCAACCGAGATTCGAAGTACGGGACAAATCCACCTGCCACCTTGCGAACTCCCCGCGTCAAGGCAAGACCCTTAGCACGAGGAATGGGGGGCAATTGATGAAGGAAGATTTGACCTGACCTCGTAATCACTCAACACGTGGCAAAGGCAAACAACTCGACACTACAGCGCACCCAGGGCGCAAGCACCAAAGAGAGGAAACCAACAATCCAAACTCCGCACCAGAAGCCCGAACTCCCCACCAACAATCCAAACAAGGAGCCCGAACTCCCTACTAGGAGCTTGAACTCCCTACGAGGAACCCGATCTCCCTACGAAGAGCCCGAACTCCCTATTAGGAGCCCGAAACTCCCTACGAGGAGCCCGAACTCTCCCTTAGGCCTCGAGCCACATAAGGCAATGACCCGAACTGGCCCACCTCATGGCAGTTCGGGACACTTCCCTATCCGAACTCAAGACTTCACCTCGCTCGCCACTCCAACACTTCTCCTCCAGGACGCCGAACTGAACAAATGTACCATACCTGACCCCGATGAGGTCCGTATCCAAGGGCGGCGCACCTGACTGACTTGGGATCTAACGCTTGACAGCCGCACTTCAACGGTCACCTGCCACCGCCACCGTCATCGCCAGTCACAGAGACGGCTCTGACAAAAAGGAGTGACAGTTCTGTCCAACACAGGGGATGACACCCGAATTGGCAAGAACCCAAAGGTAATCATACCCAACCTGACAAAAGCTTAGGAATGAGTGCACTAGGTGATTATAAAAAACTCCCTACCCCCCAAGAACAAAGTACATGAACTTTGCGCCCTTCTGATTTTATCTTGCCTAAAAATTCTAACTTGAGCATCGAAGCCTTCATACCGGGTTTCCCCCAAAGCTTCATCATGAACTTTGCGCCCTTCTGGTTTTATCTTGCCTAAAAATTCTCTCTGTTCAAAGGCAAGACCGTTGACAGCTAAGACCAACCGGATTGCGCACCATCAACAGATAAATGCCATACATTTGTTTGAGGATCATCAAGCATGCAAGGTAACCGAGTAAAGACCACCGAGGAAAAACCATATTTTCGGCAAGAACATGTATATATAAGTAAAATCTAAAATAGTGACAACGGAACACCACAATGCCCACGTTCAAGTTCGTGTCTGTCAAACACAACACAAAGTTCTTATTTAGGTACGCAAACGAGAGAAATCAAGACCCAAGCAGTAGGGCCTAATTAAACATATGGTAAAATCTTCCAAACAGTTCGTCGTCTTGTTCTCTATCCCGCAACCTTCCGGGAATAACTTCTGCCAGATGGAATCTCGTGAGATCGTCCAAGGAACTCAGTGTGGCCATGCCACCCACCAGCCTTCATTGGCAGTGTTTGTGGCTGTTTAACAGGCTGCCTGCCTGAACCAATTGTCATCTGCGCCAACTTCTCAGCCGTATCAGAAACTCCACGTCCAGTTTTGCCTGTGTAGATAGAAGCTGCCAACCAATAAAAGCAAAGTCAATATCGATTACTACTAATGCAGCACAATTTTTTATCCAGATTATCACTTTACCAGTTCATCTGTGACATCTAGGGGTGTCAATTAGACTGGATTTGGTCCAATCCGATCCAGTCCAATGTGAATACATTATGGACCAGGTCCAATACAATCCAGTGAATGTTTTGGAGTAATTTAGACCAGTAAGTACAATTCAATGTGTGGACCATCCCACCAGTTCATCTGTGACATCTAGGGGTGTCAATTAGACTGGATTTGGTCCAATCCGATCCAGTCCAATGTGAATCCATTATAAATGCACCAGGTCCAATACAATCCAGTGAATGTTTTGGAGTAATTTAGACCAGTCCAATTCAATGTTTGGACCATCCAATCTGTTCAGATTCATTTTGATTTAGATTGGTTTAAACCCAAACCCGGTCCATTGACACATTCTTATCTTGTATCAATGGACCACATATTTGCTTAATCCAACCTAATCCAATGTAAATTTGTTACGGATGGACCAGGTCCAATCCAATCTAATAAATATTTTGGACCGGATTGGCCCAATACAATATGTCTTGTTGGTCCGCCCAATAGTGACATCTGACGCAAATACCAAACACCCACATCCACAAAGTCTGTAAACGAGTGCCCTAAGAAAATCCTAATTTAGAGCAACTTACTCGGGCTGTTCCTGGCTGGTGGTCTGTATCTTGGTTGTTTGGCACAGCTCTTCACCGATTTATCATTCTTGTTAGCCTCCTGGATTTATTTAATATGAATGAGAAGAGAAGTTGTGTTACGATCATCCCAAAAATGTCACGACATGCAAATGAAGGGGCAGGGGAACAGAAATTTATGCATACCAGGTTATTCATTTCCAGCTTTCTCTGCACACCTGCAAAAATTCCCATAATTAGCTTTTAGTATTCAATTGAAAAGTACACAATTAACAAGTTTAGTAAATGGCTCATGCAAAGTGCCAACTGGTTGGTTGGTAAGATGTCCAGCTAGTTGTAGCGGAGGCATGGGATCTGCACCAGGGTTGGGGGGATTATGGGTTTGGGGGATAAGCTACCCCGGTTGTGTGGCCCCATGGAGCCAATGGAGCCTAAAAAAAAAAGTTTAGTAAATGACACATCACCACTTCAGAAGAACATTATACACTTGACCCTCCACGCACACACCCCAAAGAAAAAAAAGGAGTAAGCAAGACAGAAGAAGATAAAAGAAAAAGAACATTTCATACTGACCATTCATACCATTTCAGGTTGTTAAGATCGAAGTCAGAATATTTTCAAATTACCTGTGCTTAAAGAAGCATGTAATTTTGCAGAAGAGAAGTTGGTTGGAGGCTTGGTGTTTGATAAAGTTCCATAATACTTCCTAGCACTCTTCTGCTCCAGAGCCCCCCTTAATCCAACTACACGAATTTTATAGAAAAAGTGTCAAGGTAGAAACAATGAGCTTTAAAACAAAACACACAAAAAAATGTAAGAAACAAAAAAGAAAGAAAGGGGAAGAAGGACACAAACCAGAAGGTGGTGTCCTAGGGGCTGCAACCCTCGCACGAAGTGATGGTGGAATGTAGAAGCAGCTCTGGCATATCAAAGGGACATTAGCATAAACCAATTAGAAAACAGGTAAATTCCTCGAACTGAAGAAGATGTGTATCTGAATTCCAAGATACTCAATTTAATAAGGGGATGATGTAACCTGGAAAAAAGGATGTTGAAGGGCCTCTGCAGCTGTCGGCCTTTTGCTGGGATCCCAGGAACAAAGCGACTGCAAATTACACAAAGCATAGTAAGAGTAGAAGAAAATCCTGATACTTCTACCGCATCTCATTTCTTTGATAAAAAAGAAAATCTAGATTACAAAAAACTGAGTCTATGAAGATAATTCTTAAAAAGAAATCACACAATGGTCCTTACTGTTATGAGGTTAATCGCATCCTCACTAGCTGAGGGAATCAGAGCAGAAAGATGGACGCTTGGAAACTGCAAGCAACAACAAGCACCAATATTAGGGTCCTTGATATGTCTATTTCATAGAAACTTACAAAGAAAGTTCAAAAGAACTCAACAGCCAAATCCAGATAGAAAGAGTGCACATCACGGAAGCAAAAAATAAATAAATAATACACAAGATTATAGCACGTTTCCAGCACAAAGGGGTGGGTAAATGTGCAAAATTAAGATTTTGTATGACCTGTGGAAATTTATACTTGATCGCATTTGCAAGTTGAAGTCCCTCGGCCCATGAACTCTGATTTGGACTCCCTATCACACTGCATATTTTGTAGATTTCATCTGCTTCACTGCATCCCAGAAGCAAATTCCATACATGTTATATACTTCAAATAGTGCCACAACATAACGAGGACAGCACATAGAGAAACATATGAGAAAAAGATGAATGATCAAGTACAAATTGATAGACGGTGCCTATTAGGGACTTGGGATCAAATCCCCCATTATCACCAGGGTTGGGGAGTATGGGGCTCCGTTGTGTAACCCAATGAAGCCAAAGAAAAGTACAAATAGATAAAATGTTCTTGGACAAGCCTCCTTAAAAGATTAAATGAACATAATGACTACCTTGAGCCCGGAAAAAGAGGACGGAGAGTAAACAACTCAGCCATTATAGCACCCATAGCCCACATATCTGGAATTAGGACAAAAAAAAAACAACTTCAATGTTAATTCTGTTCAACATTTTTGCCCATGGATTTCTAACTATCATGCCAATTATATACTCACCAACTGCAGCCCCATACATAGATGACTGTAAAAGAACTTCAGGGGCTCGGTACCTGCCACAGAAACATCAAGTGTGATCTATTTATTTATATGTTACTACATTGGCACAACATTAATGGTCAATATGAAGAGTAGCATATTTTATGAAAAGCCAGCACTAACCAGCGAGTTGAGACATATTCTGTATAAGGTGGCTCAGAGCAGATTTCTCGTGCAAGACCAAAATCAGCAATTTTGATTATGTCCTTTGTGACAAGCAAGTTCTCTGCAAATAATCAACCATTGTAAATTGCCATTGCAACCTATATATAATGTCAATGGTTGCCTATAAAAATACTTGTTGCCCATTACAGATATTAAAACTACATTAACAGTAAGTAAGAGAAAGAGGCATTCAGAGGCTCTTCATTGAAGGCTCAAAGAACAGAAAGAAAAGCACAACTCACAAAGAAACTAAATTCAATAAATCACAAAAAAAAAGAAAGAAATATACTCTTAACCACCAAACAAGCTCCAGGAAGACAGTTATGTCCAAATACAGTTTGTTACAAGGGTTAGTTGATCACGTAAAAAAGGATAAAACGTACAAGCACAAGAGATGTAAAAGTGTACAGAAGCCCCTCAAAATGCATACAACCTACACTACAACCAAAGAGCAAAAAACCACTTCAGATGAGAAAACATAGCCAACACATCAAGAGCACCTGAAAACTGCCCACTCACCAAAAAAAGAGAGATGCATAAAGACCATCACTGAACTAGAAAAATGGAACCTCCTAACTTCAAAGCTGAAAATTGAGTTTCCTTATTTGACTCTTCCATCCTACCCATTGCTTTAGAGTTTCCAGGAGATCCCCTGCCGATTTAGCCATAGCTGGGATTAACTTAGGAATCAAAGTATCTTTTTTCTTACCCCACCCTCTCTAACACCATTGAGTCCCCCAATAAGTTCACCTCCAACATCCCTTTCCTCACTAGATATGAACTCTGTATTATCATCTAAAGACTTAACCAGATCTCTGATGCCCTCTCCCTCTAGAACCATTTTGTCTTTGTTAGCCTATGCATCTTCCTCTTCCAACTGCCTGAACACAGCTTCAGAATGTTCCTGATTGCCCAAAAAGAGTAGGCCTAAAGGCTTAACCACTTTAACACTTTGAGGAACCACCAATGCAATACTTATTGACTCAATGCACCTCATCAATCTGAAAGTCCTCCCTATGGCCCCCAAACTCACCCTCAGAAGCAACCGCATCTTCCTTTTCAGCATTACAACAATCACCATTCCGTTCCTCATCCGATACTTTGTTAATCCTGCATCTCCTTGTAGAAGATGCTGCTGACTTCACCTCCCTAGGAGGAATGTCTGCTCCAACAAGAGTCAAAGAGGAAGATGAAGATGTGGATTGTGGAGTACTACCTTTCTCATCCCTTCTCTGCCCACCACCAAGCACAGGCAAGGCTAGACTCTCTGACCAGCAGTTATGCAGCTGAAGAATCCCCAACCAACAGCAGGTTGAACAATGAAGAACCAGAATCAGATAGCTCTCAAAGTGGAAGAACCTTAGATATAGTATCTATAACCAAACATTGAATAAGCTCACCCTCCACGCTCCAGCCATAATATCAAAAGAAAAAGGACACCACTTAACACTTTCTCTCCCATGAATGTACAGAGGGCAGAATTTGACCAAGGCTGCATTAGGACGTCTTTCACATTCATATGAGCCATTTATATTCATTTACCAAAAAAGAGCCATTTATATTCTACTACCATCAAGTTTCTTATTGCCGCATCCAACCACTCCTTGTCAGTTGCACCAATTATTGAATTCAGCACTAACTGTCAAGATAGTGAAGGACGGAGCAGGCATCCTCATATTAACTCCAGCAAATTATCTTGTGGTGATTTCAAGAAGGTTTGTTCAAGATTAGGCAAAGCCAAGCAGAAATTAGTCATGCAGAATTTGAATAAGAATTGTAATTGGCCACACAAAAAATTCAAGGAAGCAAAAGGTGAAAAATCTTTCGCTTTTATACATCTGGTTGTAATCTTTCAACTCCTGAAGATTTACATCTGGTTGTAAATCCTTCGCTTTTTGTTTAATGAAATGAAAGTAATCATTTCTCAAGAAGCCTAGTTTATGCAACATGAAGGAAATAACCCTGAAACAGATAATTGGCATGACCAAAGATGAGAGATAGATATAAAATAAGACAAGAAATTCATATTTCATACCGGGCTTCAGATCACGATGAAAATAACCACGCTGGTGCATATATGCAAGAGCTTGAAATACTTGAAAGCACCAATTCCTCACTTCAGCTTCAGAGAAAACATTTCCCCTGTCTTTCATAAGCTGGTATAGGTTGCATTCCTGAAATGAAACATGTATAAGTTCAACACTGTGCAAGTCATTTAACAATATAACTATTGCATTTTAAGGGCAGTGCTTTTAGCATACCATGTATTCAAAAACGAAGTACAAGATGTCATTTTCTCTAATGACTTCCTTGAGCTTCACAATATTGGGATGGTTCATCTTCCGCAATGACTGCCAGAGCAACAATAATTTATGCATGAACAGAGAGAGAAAATCCAACATTTCAAGGAGAAAGACAAAAATATTTACCTTCACTTCCCTAAGATTTATACACTCCTCCCAAGAATAATACTTTCTTTTCATTTTTTTGATTGCAACCTGTCAAGCAAAATCGAAACATAAATATGGTTATACATAAAAATCTGGAAACAATCTGAAAATATAGGCATGCAGAAAGCGGGAAAATTTTTTATAATAAAAATGACACGTACAACTTCACCAGTCTGCTTATTTATAGCTCTCCAGACACTCCCAAATGTACCATCACCAACTTCTTTAATTATCTTGTACCTGCAACAACCAAAAAAGCTGTTAAACAGAATCCAACTTTACAAATAACCTCCAATTTTTCCCACAAGATTTCAACTTACCGCTCCATTTTGCACTGGCAACACCAAACAGAATTCAAAAGCTTGTGCTCTTATTCACGTAGAGAATGAGGGATAATGGGTGCAATGTCTCGCATTCAAGTTGAAGATTATGTTATGAACAATGGACTTCAGAGTAGCTATAGAAATATAGACAGCTCTCAAGACAAATCCACCATTAACTTTGACAATATATTATGCTTCAGCTCGAACAAACATCCTCCTGATGGAAAGGCTTGAAAGCCTTATTACCCAAAAACTCTAATACCACAGCTCCAATAATATAACCAGGTATAAATGGCAAGGAAGGTTGTGTGGTGTACTGCATCTCGCCACCAATTCAAAAACTCAATCTAACATAAAAGATGTCTTTACCCACTATTAAGATCCTCGATTGAAAGACACTTCAATGTAAGTAGTACAAGAAATTAAACCATTGTACTATTTTATTCCATGTAGAATATCTTCACATATTCTTTAGCTAATATGTATTTTGTCATGCTAACCCGGTGCCGATCGGGAGCAATGACAAAGAAATAGCGAAAAACTACCAAGTCCACGTGGATTGGAGGAAATTATCTACTAGTCAATGTCTAAGAAACTTTCATGTGTTTACTTGCAGACTCCAGCCCTGCATCAAACAAAAGCATGTTTCAGTATGGAGGAAAAAGGCAATTTTCAGAAAAGAAAAATTAGACTGAAGAATTGTGAAATACCTGATAAAATGTTTCTGCAAATGTTGCAAGCCAAAGTTGTGTTGGTAACACACTATTAACAGATAGAAAGTTAGAAACAGAAGAACAATGCTTCATGTTAAAAGAAGATAATAATATTAACAGATGGCTTACTTATAAAAGTTCAATATAGGTCCAACACCAAGCTCAGAAAAAAATTGCATAAGGCCTCTTATAGTGATCATTTAAAGGCAGATGGCCACTAAGTGCAGTTGACAAAGGAAACAAGAAAAAAGTCTCCAAACAAGAGAAACCGCAAATCGAGAACCTCCTGTACTGACAAGACTCCACACCAGTAGCAATTTGACGAAAGGCACACTTGCTCCATATCTTAAAAGAGAAAGGCAAGCCCTTCAGATCAAAGTCGGGCACCACCTGACAGAATGATAGAAAATATTAATGTTCAGATGAGATGAGAATCCAAATACAGTATAACTAATTCATTCACCAAACCTCAAATAGGCCAGCAATTTCAAAAGTCTAGCTTAATGATACTACTACCCACTAAAAATCATATGCCTACTTCTATTTCTTTTTTTTCTAAATGGAAACTGAGATCATATCATATGAGTTACAGTTCTTTTTCATTCTAAAACCAACCCATTTTGTCTGCTGAATTTGTTTAAGAAGCCCAAAGAAATTAGATACTTCATCAATCTCTGCACTAGATATTAAAAAACAACATGCTCCTCAAAAGACAAAACACGATGAAGGCAATGATCATAGTTGTCATAGGCACCTAGGCAGTTCTGGGCAACAGTGGAATGCCTAATCACCAAAGGCAACAGGGTTTTACTAAGAAAAACCTCAAATTCTAGGTTAATTCCCTAGTTTTGCATACCAATCAGCATCATATAAACTAAAAATAACAAATATCTTTACCAATAGCATTATTGTTCCTCTCAAAACATAGCATATCATCATATACCTAAAAAATAATAGCATTTTAAATCGATGAATTTTAATATTTCTAACATAATACTACACTAAGTATTTAAGAAATCAATCGATTGTCAAAAATTATTAGAAACTAAATAAGACTATACTTTTAGAAGTAATAAAAAGAGAAAAAGAACATTGGACAGCTTTTTTCTAAGACATACCTTGACAACTGTGACAGTGACTAAAAAATTCAGGACTCCTTACACCACATTGACTCAAATTACTATTGAAACTAGAACCAAATCAGAAAACATAATAGATAAATTCTGGAACCCTGCCAGACTTGAAAGAAACCTACATAAATCATATGCAAATCTAGAATATGCTAAAATACGATGCCATAGAAAGGGTGAGTTCAAACAAGATCCAACATAAAATGTGATTCCAAAATTCACTATGAATACTAACATCTGTGCCATTAAAATAAGCATTCCTATTTGAGTGATGAGCTACCAATAACCCTAAACAAGCTAATACTCCACTAGAATGCAATCCAGTTGGTAACTTAAAAGTTTGGCAAGGGAGAGGGTTTCAACATGTGATGCTTATAAGGAGAATGATACCAAGGTTACAGAACTAGTCAACTCTGATCAGAGATAGATGAACAACCAAGGTTTGAAACATTTATGGTGTACTTTTAAAGAATGGAATTATTGTAATTCAACTTCCTAAACCACCCCTTCTGTAGAATCACATTCCCATGTGCCACAATAGAAGACATTCTAAAAATAGGTTTTCCAATCAAGTAAGTTGGATTTCTCATATGATCCAGATCATTGAAAAGTTAGATTATTAGGCTCTTTTTTTTGGAAAAATGTAAAGTAATTTATTCAGCACATAAAAAGAGAATTACATCAAAACCCAGACCACAAAGACTGCATGGGCACAAATCATATTACAAACTCATCCAGAAGTATAAGGCTCTTCAATCATGTAAGAAAGGATAATAAGCTACAAATATGAACATTGAAAGTCAGAACATATTACCTATTGGAAAAAAAACATGACTTAATTAAGTTAATGTACTCACATACTTGAGGAAGTCTGGAAGCTAGATGAGAAAAGAAAGAAAGAAAAATAATCCCAAGGAATAGTACGATGGAAGAGTTTGAAACCTTATTCAGGAATAACTATATAGTCTATACCCCTTACTTATTTAGAAAAATGGCACTTAGGCATGGGTTCCTTGGCATCCAAGAGGTAAGTTCATAAAGAACCATAACCCAAAAACCAGCCATGATCAGCTATCATGATAGAATCTCAGCTGGATTGATTCCAATGTAGCTCAAGGTGCTTAAAATTCCATCATGAAGTCAACTCTCATTCAAAACCGGGATAAAAACTGATGATAAATATTCAAAACCACCACAGAAAGGAGCGATAGCCTTCTAAATCATATACCAAGTGCCTGCTCTTGCCATTGCAAGGTGAGCCCACATGGAAAACTTTATAAGTACTGTTTTTCCAAGAAAACAGAAACCAAACTGAATATTTTTCACCCACTTTCTCTCCATTGAAGCTTCTTTTAGTGACTTCTTAAAAGCCACTTTTCAGTGGCTCAACCAAAACTTAAGCCCTCACAAATGGGACTGAACTCTCCCCTGAAACAAGTCAATGCAAACAATATAACTTACAAAATCCCAAGGAGTGGCAAAAGAATAACAAAATTCTAAACCTCCACCGTCATGCAAATCCATAAAAGGCATCCAAAAAGAACATCTAGTATCAACATAAAAAACAAGAACCTCCGCTTATTGACCTTTCACCATGCAAATCTTCAGCCACAAAATTTCCAGTCAGTCCTATTGAAACCTCAGAAATTCAGAGCTTTGATCTATGAAAAATCTCTAGAATTATCAGATATCAAAGACCTTAGGAGCGTACGCAAAGCAAAGATTTCTAAAGTAAAGCCTGAAATGAATGATCAAATTCTCAAAATAAGAATGTCTAGTACTTGTTCATAAATAAAAGACTCATCAACATCAGCACAAACCGTGAATAAAAAGTGGTCAATTCGCAAAATCCAAACACAACGAGAAAACCGCTACAGTTTGCCAATCTCATATACAAGATAATTAAATCCCCATCAAACAAAAAATCGAAAGCAAATTAAACCCTAATATACCCCAAATCGATATAAAATACGAACTCAACCCCTAGTCAGAACCGCACAATATGCAAATCAAATAACGAACCAATTATTAATCCTTGATCCAACATCCACGAGGAATCCAGAAGCCCCAAATGCCTAAAATTCCCCTACAATGAAACCCTAGCTAGAAAGATCGCATTCAGCATCCATCAAGTCTTTAATTCCCAATAATCCGAAACTCTAATGCAAGAATAAGGTAACCATAAAGAATATACAACAAATTCAAACATCCGCAACATCCGAACCCCCAATGACCTAATCTGAACAAAATAAGCAACTAAAGAACAATCAAAAACAAACCAAACCGATGGAATCCAAAAGCAAACCGAACCGATTCTTATATGAAGCATAGATACCTCTAAGCCTAACGGCATAACCTCCCTCGCCTCTGACAGGCAAAGGTCGACTCCAGAGCTCCTTCTCTGCAACCGAAGAACCCAAAACAAACACCAAAATAAAAACTAAAAGGTACCTTCTTCTCTTCGAGGACACGGAGGGTCCTATATAAATCAGCCAGAGAAGGAATAATTATTAAATGACTCGAAGAGAGAGAGAAACGACGAATTTATCGTTCGGGTAACTATCCACTATATCGTGTTCCTACTAATACATATAGCCCGATAACGCTTTTCTGCGTTGGATGGACCGATTGACTCGTTTGAGTTGGAGATGTTTCATGTTTGAGTTGGAGATGGGAACCATCGAATGGATCGATTGACTCGTTTCCGAGTAGGCATGCATGCGAGAAAATAGGGACCGTTGATCGTTTCCTTGAGTTTGGTAGATAGATACTAGACAGATAAAAGAAAACTGTTTCCAAATCCAAAATATAACGGAAAATAATTTTTATTTGAATAAATTATAGGGAAAAAATGACTGCAAACCACGTCAGAAACTCCTATTCTATTAATAGCCCCCCTATAAACCACATCCTACACGGGATTGATGCCAAATTACTATGCGTCAGTGACAAAGGCCCCCCGAACTTTGGCCGTTAGATAAAGACCCCTTCCGTTAATATTCCCTCACTTAACTTCGGAAACAATTCTTATTTAACTATTTAAAATTTTTTAAATTCTTAAATTATCCTTTTTAGGGAAAATTTTACTTTAGTGTCCTAAACTTTAAGTAGTGCCAAGTCAGTACCTGAACATTTAAACGTGTTATTATAGTATTCAAACTTTCAAAAAGTGTCAAATTGATCCAAAACGTTGACATATGTTAATTATTATGTAAAAGGACAAAAATTCCCTTAAGTTCATAACAAGTCATTTCAATCTCAAGGTTGCAAGACACACCTCACTCTTGTTTCTTGTTCATTTTCTTCTCCTCTCGTACTCCAGTATTATTGTTGTTACAGCCGATGAAAAAAGATAACAAGACCCAATTCAAAAATACTGGTCATTGCTGAGAAATTTCACACTTTTGGTCTTTCCTCTGTTTGACTTCCGACCCATACTCTGCTTTTACCTGTAGAAGTTAAGAAGAAACAAAGAATTACAGAAGACGATGAAAGCCCCCCAAGCACAAAAGTCCCAACAAAAGAACTTGTTGACGTCGAAAACCAGGGAAACCTAGAAAAGCATCATGAGTCCTAGGCCTGTTCGTTTGCTCTGAAGTCTGACATCTGAAAGTGCAATAATTACATTAAGAGGTATATTGGTATTGGCGAACTTTTTTTTCCTCTGAACTTTGAATGCAGAGAATGTTGCTTTGAACTTTGAACTCTGAAAATGATCAAATATCTATTTTGACCCCATATATTATAGCTTTTGTTTGTCTTTTTGGGGGTATTATTGAAAAACAAAAATGTGTATGATTACACTTTAATAGATAAGAGATAAGAGGAAACAAACAACCATTTTTCTCTTAAAATTAAAAGATTCCTCTTAAGAGATTAGAGTTAAGAGGAAACGAACAGGCCCCTAGATTCCGAACCGTGGCGGCGATGGCCGGTTGGGACAAAGAAACACTTTTGCTGGCCACTCTCATTGTTGAAGGCACGCTAGACAAAGAATACAAAGATAAGAAACACACCCATTTGCTGTTTAAGTCCCCACAAACTAGTTCGAGAAGGTAAGCCCTTTCCTTTTCCATCCTTTTCTCATGTTTCCCCCTTTAGATTAGATCTTTAGTTGATTCTCCCAGTTTCTTAGAAAACGTAGAGCTCAAAGATGAAGTCTTGCTTCAATTCCTATTGTTGTTCTTAACCTCGATGATGAGGAGACTACCAAAGAAGGTAATGTATCGCTTTTACCTTCATTTCAAAATTTTCTCTTCTACTTTTACTTCATTTTTTTCTTTAATAATCGAGATTCTATGTTCTATTTTGTATAAATGATGTTTGCTTCGCTTGCTCACGCATTTGGGGTCTTCTTTTATGTGTGATTAATCTGTAGAAGACATTAGTCCAGAATCTCAAACACCTCAATCGGTTCAGTCTCAAGGTAGAATACAATGAACAGTGTCTTCTATTTTGAAGGGTAGTTTTGACATTTTTGAAAATTTTAAGTTGCACGGGTCATTATGTGATCAAATAACTAATGGTCGGTTAATGACAGGGACCAAGTTGACACTTTTTGAAAGTTCGAGTACTACAGTGACTCGTTTGAAAGTTTGGGTACACTTGACACTACCCCCAAAGTTTAGGGTACTATATTAAAGTGGAATTTTCCCGGTGAGAAAAAATCACCAACATACCTATAAAAACCCTGTAACACTGTTAATGACTAAATCTTGAACAATGGTTTGGGATACATTAGAATGGCGAGAAGAAATGAAGGAGAAAGAAAGAGAGGATGAGAAATGTCCCTGGGTTGGACGGAGCCCAATCGATCGAGCACTAGATTCTACTACAATCCCAACCACAGGGGTCTCCATTGACAGTCCACGGATGAATTCTTCATGCAAAATCAATTTCCAAAGCTTGGAGCACAAGCTGTCCAAGCAGCTTCAATGGGGGACCTAGAATCAAACACAAAGGAATGGAGAGATCCTACTCTACAAACATCAGGGTACTCCTGTTCTTAATGTTCCAATCTATTCGCTTTGAGGCTCATAAAAGTCAGGCTCTGTTTTCAGATTTGGTCAATTGTGGTGCTTGTTTTTCTACTACTACTAGTGATATTTCAAGAATTCCCTTTCCGAAGTAAGGTAGAATACGACTTAAACAGGAGTGTGCATACTGCAGTGGTCGACCAAGCCTGGTCTAGCCGTCATGGACACCGAGACATGACAGCAAAAAGAGAGAAATCCTTTTATCAGTAGTTTTCATTAACTAATGTCACATTTGGTCACGCATTGGTATGTTTCTGGTGTTCCAATGAACAGAATGATTCTTTCTTTAACCTGTTTTTAATAACGAAGTGGCTAATTGAACTTTCAGGAGAGGAAATGGACCAACTAGTAGACCCGTGCCCGTAAGGCCATAAGAGAGGAGTTCAATATAAAAGAACAAAAGTGTAAACTCAGATCGATATGAGTGAATATAGTTATATAGATAACTCGAATAACAGAGAATGATAATAATTTCATTGATATACGAGCAGGTATATATACATGAGTAAAAAACATGTTACGTAGTTGGATAGAAATACAAGTTTATCTTGATAGAGATTAGGAGGAGATAGAGATAAGAGCCTAGATGTTGATCCATATCGGAGGTTTCGTAGCTTCATTGGTAATACTCCCCCTCAAGTTGGGGAGTAGATGGTATGAACCAACTTGGACTGGAAGTGATGAAAGGCTTCTCGTCCCAAGGGTTTGGTGAATATATCATTAGTTTGTTAAGAGGAAGAAATGTGCCGAGGACGAAGTAAGCCACATTGTATCCGTTACTATATGAAATGACAGTCCATTTCGATGTGTTTAGTATCTTCATGAAATACGGGATTATTAGCAATGTGCAAGGCTGTCTGGTTGTCACAATGAAGAACCACTGGCTGTAAGGGAAGGCCATGGCACAATATTCAAATTCGAAAGAAGAGCGTGCAACAGTGGATTATTTCTTGGACTTCCAAGAGATCGGGCTTATGGCCAAAAAAGATGCAATAATAGGTAACAGACCGTCTGGTAGATGAACCTCCCCCAATTTGAATCACAGTTTGCAATAAGAGTAAGAGGGCCACTAGAACTGAGAAAAATGCCATATCCTACAGTGAACTTGATGAATGCAAAATATGTAAGGCAACATTCCAATGTAGCTCATCCGGAGAATTCATGAACTGACTGAGGGAATTACAGAGTAAACTAGAAGAAGACGCTTGCATTGCACATGTCAAATACTTGCAGATTTGAAGTTAATCTCTTTTACCTGCCCAGTTACCAGTATTAGAAAAGTACCATCACTCTTCGTCCCAAAGTCCACTAAGGTAGAAAAGTCAAGGGACTTGATGATGCGCAGCCGGTCGGTTCTAGCTGCCGGTTACCTCGCTTTTGACGAGATCGGAGGTGCCTGAAACAAGGAAGAAAATGGAGACTTCCGGGGAGGAACCCGGTTGGAACACTCCGAAGCTCAAGTTAGTGCTCTTTTAGAAGGCAAGGGAAATGAGGAATTCTAAGACCAGAAAACGCAAGAATCACATACCCTTTTCTTTGTGAGATGGGGGCCTTTTATAATCACCCAGTGTGCTCACTTCCATGCCTCTGCCAGTTCGGGAGCCCTGTGCTCAACCGGGCCAAGGTCCTCGAAGCAGAACGTGCATTCTGCAACGAAATCCGCCAAGGCTTGAGCTTTGATGGCGGTCCGGGGCTTGTACCGGAGGTTATACTCACTGAGTTCGATGGCCCACTTTGTCAATCGTCCAAAGACCTCGGGCCTGAGTAATACTTGCCTCAGGGGTTTGTCGGAGAGGACGGTGATGATATGAGCTTGGAAATACGGGCGGAGTTTACGGGCCGCAATGACCAGCGCATAGGCCAACTTTTCTATCTCTGGATATCTCATTTCTGCTCCCTGCAATATCTTACTAACATAGTAGATGGGTCATTGGACCTGATCTGCTTCCTTTATTAATACCGAACTGACCACTTCGTCGTTTGCCCGAGAGGTAGAGTTCTAAAACATCGTCCTCTTCGGGGTCCACTCGAACCCTTTGCCTTTTACTGCCTTGAAGAAGGGCAGGCAACAGTCTGCTGACTTAGACATGAAGCGACTTAGAGCGGTTATCCTACCATTTAGCCTCTGAACTTCTTTTACTTTTCGAGGTCGTCTCATATCTAGGATGGCCTTTATTTTGTCCGGGTTGGCCTCAATACCGCGTCGGTTGACGATGTACCCTAGGAACTTACCCGAGGTGACACCGAAGACACACTTGTTTGGGTTTAGTTT